CCTCCTCCTCCTCCCCTTCCTCCTTCTCCCCCTCCCTGCATCTCACCTCCACGCAGCAATCCGTGCACGAGGGGGATATCGTCTTCTTGCAACCCTCCTTCACGCGGCACTCAGAGAGAGAGAGAGAGAGAGAGAGAGAGACAAAGGTTTCTTTTCATTGCGCAGTTCCCTTCCACGCGAGAAAAAGGTGCACGAGGGGGGTTATGTCTCTTTGCGTCCCTCCGCCACGCGGCAATCAGTGCACGAGAGGGATTTCGTGTTTCTGCAGCCCTCCTTCACGCGGCATTCAGCGTGCGAGAGGCTTTGTTTCACTGCGCAGTCCTCCTCCACAGGACACAAATGCGTACGAGGAGGATTTCGTTGTTCTGCATCCCTCCTCCACGCGGCAACCTGTGTACGAGAGGTATTTGCCATTCTGCAGCCCTCCTCCACACGACAACTCGCGCACGAGAGGCGCAGTCAGCATGTCGTTATGCAGCCCCCTTCACGCGGGAATTCGTGTATAAGAGGGACTTCGTCATTCAGCAGCCTTCCTCCACGCGGCAACTCTTGAAACATAATGATTTTGTCATTCTGCAACCGTCTTGGGCTCCTCGTCGAGCCCTCTCGGGACGCTCTATGGGGCCCTTTGGGGTCCCTCTCGGAGGCCTGAGGGCCCTCTTGGAACCATCTTGAAGGCCATCGATCAGGCAGGGGGTGTTGCCCCAATCGGGGTCTGAAACATCACTTCTTGGGCCGCTTTTGGGCAACTCCTGAGGCGGTCTTTTCTGCTCTCGGAGCTGTATTTTGCTCCTGCTGGATCCCTTTGGGGGCCGATTTGGGCCCATCTTGGAGCCGCCTTCTGGCCTTCAGAAACGATCAGAATCGACATTGGGAGGAGGCAAACATCATAATGTTTCGAACGCTTCGGAAGGAGTTTGATTTCTTGGAAGTTTCCCTGGGGTGCTGGGATGGCACTGCGGGCCGTCTGGGGGCGGTATTGAAGGCTTCGGGGGGGCGTGTTGGAGAAATCTTGAACCAGTTTGGCAAACTTTGAACGATCTTTGAGGCCCATCTTTGGGCTCGTGGGGGCCTTCTTGGAACCTTCTGAGGCCATCCTTGACGCTCGAACGGCCCGCCGAACGCCCTCGTCCAGGGGGAGGGTGTAGGGGTAGGGGGTACTAGGGGAAGGCCCCCACCCCGAAAGGGATGAGGGGAGGGCCGTTGGGACTCTTCTTCGTCATCCCTTCTCGTCCGGTTGACTCGGCGGGTCCCACCTCGGCCTCATCTTCCGTCGTCTCGGGCGTCTTCCCCATTGCTTATGGTGGTGGTGATGCCGCGGCTGATGTTGCTCGGGGCCTTCGGTTCCCTGCTTGTCTGAAGCAGACTGCCACTCACATGAGCATCATGCCACCCTGCTGTCCAGCAGCACACTCTGGCATTCAGACGCTGCCCGGGTCTGAGGTTGAACCTGAGCGCGCGCGAAGCGCGCGCGATGGCTCTATACACACACACACATATATATATATATATATATATATATATATATTATCATACGCACCTCTCCGAGGGAGTAGAGCTCAGAGGCGATTAATGCGCACGTCGTCCGCGATTTTTCTGGCCGTTTCGCTCGGGACATCCTCGACATTCTGAAAATCGGTGGCACCCCTCACGCAGATCGTGACGTCAGGGTCCAAAAACACATGGGAATTTCAACATTTTAACATAAAACCTTCAAAAACACATGGTAATTTCAATAATTTTGACCCCGATTCTCAGAGAATTGCGGTTTCGCATGAAAAATCCTCCCAAAATCGAGCCCCAGACCCCTCCTCGGAGCCTCCTGGGGGCCTCCTGGAACCTCCTGGGGCCTCCTGGGGCTTTCTGGACCTTCTGGTACCCCAGACCCCGCCTCGGAGCCTCCTGGAGTTCTCCTGGGCCTGCTGAGGCCGCCTGGGGCCTCCTGGGGCCTCCTGGGGCTTCAGAACTACATGCACACACAGAGACACAAATCACGCCCAACACATCACACGCTAGACAAACATAACATACACACACACAACACCGACAACACACAAAAAGCACGCACCACACAAAGCACACATCACACACACAACACTGACAATCCTGGGGCCTCCTGGAGCCTCTTCTGGTATCCAAGTCGGGCCTCCTGAGGCTTCCTGGGGGGCCCTGGTACACACATCGCATGGTGTGGCAACCCCACTTGCGCTCGAGTGCGACTTCGCTGTTGCATGTCACTCCTGCTTCAAACGCCCCTTCAGTTTGTTGTATGAGCCTGGGCACATACGTGCCACTTGTATATACACATAAAAAGAAATAACTATAGATGAAAATGGGTAGGGGGTCCCAGGCCCTCCAAAGTGCACTGATGTATCTTCCGGCCGTTCCGAGCCCGGCGGGGGGGCGCCCGAAAACGTCAAGGCGGCCGAGAGACGTCCGAGAGAGCGCCAAGATGGCCCAGGAGCGCTCCAAGAGAGCCCAAGACCGCACAGAAGCGTTTCAAAATGGGTCCAACATGGCCTAAAGGCAGCCCAAAAAAGGGCTTCAAGACGGCCAATCTGCTCTCAAAAGGACTCCCACGAGGCACTCAGGAGGCGAAACAAGTAGGTTTGTCTATGGTGTTTGAAGGTTTTTCGTGTTCTCGCTGTTTCGTGCTTCCGGCGGTCCAAGACAGCCCACGAGGCCCCAGAAATCAGCTCAACACTGCCCAAGATGCACCCAAAGAGGGCGCCACGACGGCGCAAGAGAGCCCCAAGACGGCCCACGAGCGCCCCAAGACGGCCCACGAGGCGCCCAAGATCGCCCAAGAGGCCCCAAGACGGCCCCAAGAGGGGCCCAAGAGGGAGAAACGCGAACCGACCATTCGAGCCTTCCGCCCCAAGAGGCTTCCAGGAGGCCCCAAGAGGCCCCCAACAGAGCCCTAGAGGCCCCAGGGCCCACGAGGCCCTAAAGGGGCCCAAAAAGACGCCCCACGAGCACCCCAAACGGCCCCCAAGAGGCCTCCAAAATTGCCTTCAAGTGGCCCCCGGGAAGCCTCCCACGAATCCCAAACGAATTTCCAGTGGGCCTCTAACCCACAACCCAGGCACGGTGGCGGGATGGGCCGAAGGCCACTATCGAGAACGTGAACCGAGAACCCGAGATCTTCGCCCCAGGAGACCCCCAGGAGGGGTCAAGAGGTCCCCAATAATCTTGGCGACAGATCACCAGTCGACCAGTCGATGAGAGCGGAGGAGGAGGCATGAGGAAGAGGCGCGAGGCAACAGAGATTGTTGACTTCATCATTCATGACCACCTCGTTGTCTCAATGCAGTCAGCACTCGACAAGCTAGAAGCTAAGCGCGCGCGAAGCGCGCGCGATGGTTCTAGTGTGTGTGTATATATATATATGCGCCCACGGCTGGCCTGCCGGTGAAGCTTCGCGCCGTGATATGGCGAAGGCCGTCCTTCCTTCCCAGTCCGCCCATTTGCTGTCCCCCCTGCCTCGGGCGCACACGGCACCAGTGTGAAGCCGGCATGGACAGTCTACGCTGCTGGCGTTCGGACTACAACAGCTCCTGCTCGACATAGCCGCCCAGCCAGTCAACATAACTTGAAGTAGCTTCGTGTGGCGTTTTTGGTCTTCATGCGCCTCGTCTGCGCGTCCGTGGGGGCCGACCTGTCTCCTTCTCCTCCTTCGTTTCGGTTTCTCCCGGGGGTAGTTGTGCGAGTGCCGCTGGCCAGGGCTGGCAGGCGTACGTACGCACAGGCTTCTCTTCCCGCACCCGGGTGGGACAGTCTGCGGGCGTCCCTGGCGAAGTCTGGCTTCGTTTACACGCGCACGAGCTGTGCGCCCCTCGCTGGCCCCTTTCCTTGTCGTCCTCCTCTCTGCGAAGTGTTTCCTAGTTGGCCAGGCGCTCCTATGTTGCATTGCGCGCTGCGCGGCAGCTTTACGGTTGCGGTTCGCGGTCCTGGAGCTCGTGGCGGCACCGTTGGCTGCTGGTTGTTTGTCTTGAGTACTGGGAAGCGTAGCTGACGCAAGCTCTTGAAATCAGCGTGCGCGGCGCCCTGGCGAGCGAGGGCGCCTCTTTGAAGCCGACCATCCCTCAGTCCTTGCACGGTGGGGGTGTTGGTTAAGGAATGCGCCCAGGAGGCTGCAGACCCTGGAGGACTCGTTATCTGATGAGGGCGGCGGTGATAGCCATGGCCAAGCTTCGATTGGAGTTCCACCGGCCTCCAGACCCTGGATTCCTCACCTTTCGTAGGCCCCCACAACGGTTCATTTCCACAGGGAACTGCCTCGTTGGAAAACAGCCGTTTGAAGACCCTGAAGCATGCCAAAATATTGTTGTCGGGATTCCAACGCCACGGATCAACCTGACTGTTGCGTCTTGGCGATCTTGAACCGTGCCAGAACGCCGTTCCTGGGACTTCAACACCGCGAACCAGCGTAACTGTTGCACCCTCATAACCCTGAATCCGTCCAACCCATAATTTCTGGTACGATGCTCATGGAAAGCCGTGAATCTCTTACAATGATTACACACGAATGTGCGTGGCGCTAAGGCGAGAGCCACATTTTGAAGAGGAACCGCCTGCAATATGTACAATTCTTGAAGATGTTTGAAAAGAGTGTGCGTGGCGCTCACATGAGAGCCACATTTTGAAAACCACCCGCCCTCCATCCGTGAAGCTTTGTCAGGTTGTTGTACGAATGTGCGCGGCGCTGAGGCGAGAGTCACCTTTTGAAAAGGAGCCGCCCTCAATCCGTGAAGTTCTTTCAATTTCTTAAAACGAATGGCGCGGCGCTAATGCGAGAGCCACATTTTGAAAACGACCCGCCTTCCATCTGTGAAGTTGTTGTCGATGCTGAAACTTTAGGATAATTAATGGCGAGGAAATCTCAGGCGAAACGCCCGGGCCGCCCACAAAATTGGCCTCGGGGTGCGACAGGGAGAAGTTAGTTAGAAGGAACAGAAATGGAGGAGGGGAGAGGCTATAGGGAGCGTAAGAACTCGCTGGTATGATCCTTCCGCCACTCCTCTTTCATCTCTCTCTCTCTCTCTTTGTCTGTCTCTCTCTCTCTCTCTCTTCTCGCGCATCCCTTGTCCTCTGCCCTCCAGTGTGGCTTCCCGAGCGGGTGATGCAGCCGCCAGTTCTACGAGCCCGCGCCCGCACCCGCAAGGCTTGCCCCCACAGGCCGTTTTCACTGCACCGTGCGTTGCTCCTCGCCAGCAGTGCTTCTCCCGCCTCCCTCCCTTCGCGCGGTGCTGTTCGACCCACCAGAGATGTTGAGCGCCCCGCTGACCAAGCTGTACCTGCAGGCGAAGCAGCTGTGCGCGAAGCTGACCAGCATGCACAGCCGAGGAGGGGACGGGGCAGGCGGAGGGGTGGGGTCGGCGGGGTGGGTGACATGCAGAGACGGGGGACGAAGGATGCTGGGAGGGTATCGAAGGTCGTCTTCGCGCCACACAAGAGAGTGGTGGGGGGAGGAGAAGGAGAAGGAGGAGCAGGAAGAGGAGGAGGAGGAGGAGGAGCAGGAGGAGCAGGAGGAAGGATAATGAGGAGCAGCAGGAGCAGTGGATGATGATGATGATGATGATGATGATGATGATGATGATGATGATGATGATGATGACCTGCCTGTACTGCGGCTTGTGCGCCACGATCTTTCATAGGCTCTGGCACTGTCCTCACGGGGATCCAGCAAGGAATGACATCGATCAAGTCATCCTGGATGCGGCTCGTAATTCGGTAGGCAAGGACCCCTTGTACACCAGCCTCTGGATCCCCGTGCCCGAGATTAAGCAGCAGCCCCCAGACGATGACCAAGTTGAGTACATCGACAAGGGGGGGGGGCGAGATTGACGAGTTTGATTTCACATGCCCCACTCAGATCTTCATCGACGGAAGCTGCCTAGAACATACGAAGCCCGAATTGGCCCGAGCGGGCTGGGCGACTGTGGAAATGACTGCTGGAGGTGATCTTAAAAGAGCTGTTAGGGGTCCACTGCCGAAGCGTTTTCCCCAAAGTGCGACTTGGGCTGAACACCACGGCCTTCTCCAGGGACTCCGACACCTCTGGCAAGACCCAGCAAGATTCGATGAAGAAGCAGATTTGTTTGCTGACTGCCAGGCCCTACTGACAGGATGTGCCTTTTCATTCCGTGCCTTAGATGGCACGTCCCAACAGGCGGGACACTGGCGCGCGATTCAGAAGCTAGATAAGCAGTTCACTATACATAAGGTTAAGGCTCACCAATCACTATTACGTGGAGATCGGGAATGGGCCGAACAACGAATTGTCTTGGGCAATGCTTGGGCTGATGTTCTATGCCGTGAGGCCGCCAGAAAATTCGCCTGCCCCCAGGACGCCGATGCAGTTAAATATTCCCTAGATGGCTGGTTTGCCGTGTTCAAGGCTGCAGTAGCAATCCTTGAACTTTGGCCAACGGCCCGTGAGATGCACGGAACTCTTTACAAAGAACCTAAAACTTTAAGACCACCCCCCCAAAACTCTAGGCAGCATAATGTGCTTTGGAATGGCCGTCTTTGGCAATGTTTGGCTTGCGCCAAGAGTTTCAAAGCCCCGCCTTCGAGAGAATCCAGATGTGCTGCATTTCCACCCAGTTTTGGGGCCCTGGTCAGTGGGAAAGACTTGCCTACTCCAGGGCACAAACTGTGGGCCGCCAAAATAGAAAGCTCGGGTATTCCTGTGCTGTATTGCTCCAGGTGCGGGTCATACTGCACCAAGACTCCCAGACATCTCCTGGGCCCTTGCGGACATAAGAAGATTGCCCAGGTACGAGATTTCCGTCGCGGGAGGCTCCCGTGGCCTAAAGGCACCCGCCTGAGCCGCCCCTGGCGTGTCCTCCACAGCCCCGCGGAGTGGTGGCATGACCAGGTAGATGGCATGAGGGGTGCCACAAAACAAGTTTGCCCATACTTGTCGTTTCTGTTGGTTTCATTTCCATTCTTGCGCACGGCCCGATGCGGCTGACCGTCAGGGCAGGCGTCCGTGCGCATACCCCACATCTGGGGCGTGGCTTGCCGCCGTCCAGGCGCTGCCTGCACCTGGGGTGGTGGGCCGCGTCGTCCTTGTGTGGGTGGTCGAACATTATCCTGATTTATGGTTGTGAATGATTTGCATTATACTCTGGAGTTTATGTGCCGATCTTTTATTTCAGCCTTGGCCGTGCCCCCCCGCCCGCACCCCTCCCGTCGCCCGATCGGGCCTAGGGGGATCGTTGGGCGGGAGCGGGGGCGCCCTACGGGGATTCGGCCTGCGGATTTCCCTTGAGCCCTTGGAGCCCCCGCCAGGGTTCAGGGCATCTTGGATCACCTGCCAGTGCGTACGGCCCAATGCGACTGACTTTAGAGGCAGGCATCCGTGCGCAACCCCACATCCGGGGCATGGCCTGCAACCGTCCTGGCGCTTGCTGCACCTGGGGTGGCAGGCCGTGCCGTCCTTGTGTGGGTGGTCGAGGGCTCGGTTTTTGATTTTGTATTTTGGAAGAGGTGACCAGTTGCCTCAGTTTCCTTGTGGCTGTGCCCCCCCTGCCCGCACCCCTCCTTCGCCCTGCTCTCTGGGTGCCTTGGGGGATCGTCGGGCGGGGCGGGGCGCCCCTAAGGGGCGGCCTGCGGTTTACCCCTCGAGCCCCTAGTGCCCTCTGCAATGCCCCAGGGCTGGGCTCGTGGGTGAGGGGCCTGGCCCAAGAGCGGCCGTGGCCCCGTCGGTGCTGAGGTCAGGCGAACATGGTTTGGCTGACCTCTTAATGGCCCATGAATGAATGAATGAACGAGGATAGGGATGAGGATGATGCGATGATGCTGATGCTGATGCTGCTGATGATGATGTTAGTGGTGATGGTGATGTTGGTGGTGAAGATTATGACACTGATGACGAAATTAACGATGGTGATGGCGGTGATGAGGATGAGGATGATGATGAGGATGAAGATGAGGTCGAGGATGAGGATGAGGATGATGATGGTTCCGATACTGATGTTGGTGATGATGACAATGTTGATGAAGAAGCTGATGATGATGATGTTGCTGATGATGATGGTAATGATAATCACGATCATGATGCTAATGGCGATGATGGCGCTGATGGTGATGATGATGGTGACGCTGATCATGATGACGATGGCGATGATGCTGCTGATGGTGATGATGATGATGATGAATTCTGATTCTAGGTTTTGCTTCTGCCCGTGACCCCGACCACTGGAGGTCCCACGAGGCTCGTTGGAGGCCTTCCGAGGCTTCCTGGCCCCTCCGAAAGGGGTCATTAGCAGGCAGATGCCCGTTGGAAAAACCCTCCCTGGCGCGCGGAGCGCGCCAGGGGTGGCGCTGGAGGCGCATGATGGTGCTGCTGCTGCTGCTGCTGCTGATGATGATGATGATGCTGATGCTGATGCTGCTGATGATGATGATGATTACGATGCTGGCTATGATCATAATAGTGGGGATGATGCTGGTGATGATGCTGATGATGATGACGATTGTGGCGATGGTGATGCTGGTGATGATGATGATGATGATGATGATGATGATGATGACGATGATGATGACGATGATGATGATGATGATGATGATGATGATCATGGTGATGATGGTGATGATGGTGGTGATGACGATGGTGGTGGTGGTGGTGAGGGTCATAATGGTGATAATGTCGATGGTGGTGGTGGTGGTGAGGTTGGTGATGGTGACGATGGTGATGGTAGTGGTGATGATGATGAGGAGGATGACGGTACTAATGATGATGATTATGATGATGATGATGATGGTGATGATGACGGTGGTGATGATCATTATGGTGATGATGGTGATTAGGATGTTGTTGTTGATGATGATGCCGATGGTTATGCTGATGCTGATGGCGATGGTGATGATGACGATGGCGATGGCGATGATGCTGATGATGATGATGATTATGATGATGATATTTATGATGCCGTTGATGATGATGACGACAATGATGGTGATGATGGTGCTGACGATCATGACAATGAAGATGATGAAGATGATGATGATGATGATGATGATGATGGTGATGATGGTGGTGGTGATGGTGATGGTGGTGATGATGATGATGCTGCTTATGATGATTGTTGTGATGATGATAATAATGATGACGATGATGATGCTGATGATGGTGATGATGACGATGACGATGACGATGCTGATGATGATGATGCTGATGATGATGATGACGATGATGGTGATGATGATTATGGTGATGATGATGATGATGATGATGATGATGATGATGGTGGTGGTGGTGGTGGTGGTGGTGCTAATGTTGGTGATGATGCTGTGTATGCTGAGTGTTGTGATGATGGTGATGATGATAATAATGATGACGATGATGATGCTGATGATGGTGATGATGACGATGACGATAACGATGACGATGCTGATGATGATGACGACGACGATGATGATGATGATGATGATGATGATGCTCATGATGATGATGATGATGATGATGATGATGATCATGATCATGATGATGATGATGATGATGATGATGATGATGATGAGGAGGAGGAGGAGGAGGAGGAGGAGGAGGAGGACGAGGAGTTATGATGATTGGTTTTGCTTCTGCCTGGGACCCCGACCACTAGAGGTCCCACGAGGCCAGCTGGAGGCCTTTGAGGCTTCCGGACCCCTCCGAAGGGGTCATGAGCATGCAGATGCCCGTTGAAAACACCCTCCCTGGCGCGCGGAACGCGGATCCAAGAAAGCCGCGCGTCGCGCTAAAAGTTTATGCTTATGTCAGGAGGTAAAGAAACACACAGACACAATTAATCGTCGATTCCGCAGAGAATATAGGAAAATATGGGAAGTGGGGGGGAAGACAAAAACCCAGAAAATATGGGAAAATATGGGGGATCCTGTTATTTGTGTGTATTTATTTGTGTGTCCTTGGGCCCCTTGATTATGCCGGTTTTTCTTCCTCTATTCCCCGCCCCTGCGTTGTCCTCGGACTTGGGAGCTGCCTCGTGACCAGCCTGTCCCGAGTTCGCGACAGTTCCATGGCTGGCTGGCCCGGGATCGGGCGCCGATTCGGGTCAGCGCGTCGCCGACCCTGGCATCCAGCGCTTCGATTCTTCCGATGCGTGGGTCGACAGCTCCCCACATGCCGAGTTGGGTTCTGGCTGGCAATCCCCGTCGCACCCGCGCTTCCCCTGGCCTCCTTCTCACAGGCACGCCCACCACCGCTGCGCGGGCACGCACCCGTGCACATGTGCATGCAGAGTCCTCGCAGGAGCCTCGCGGGAGCCTCGCCGGCGCGGGAGCCTCTCCCTAGGGGGGCGTGGCAGGGGCGGCCGCTCCTCGCCACCGCAAGGGGGGTTGCGCCAGGGGGTGCGGTCCTTCGGCGCCGGATGCTCCCTGGGCGTGGCGCTCGTGGCAGGCGTGGCACGTCCTCGACACACGCACGCACGTGCACCACCACCCACTACGCACGCGCGCGCGGAGCCACAGGTCCGCTACGACACGCATCCGCGGATAGAGAAAATCAGCGCCATGGTAAGGGATGGGAGGGAGGGGTAGGACGTCAGATATGACGCGAGCGCACCTATTCCCCCATCCGTCCCACTCGGCGACTACAATCGGTGCGGTTACGCCGGGCTGCGGTCTGCGAGTGGCTTCGTGGCGGCCTCTCCGGGGCCTTTGCGAGAGGCAGTGTCATAACTGTCGTCCTTTCGAGCGACACTGTCATCCTCGATGTCTGCTCCGCCGTGCTAGAAGGAGCGACAGTGTCATGTGATGCGGTCGCATTGAGTGACAGTGTCACCCGTTTCCCGGGGGCGGGAGGGGCAGATATGACGGGAGGCAAGCCGCACCCTTCGCAAACCGCACCCAATGTAGTCGCGACCCACGCTCGCAGGGCGTGGCAGGCGAGGCGTTTCCTCGGCACCCGAGGGGGTGGTTCCCCTAGCCGTCCCACGCACGCAGGGTGTGGCAGAAGCCTCCCCAGAGCCACGCAAGAGCAGGGCACGCTTTCTCGCGGGCTCTGGAGGCGCGTTCGTGAGATACCAGAGCGCAAAATGCATGGTTTCAGTGTGTGTGTGTGTGTGTGTGCGTGTGCGTGTGCGTGTGCGTGTGCGTGTGCGTGTGCGTGTGCGTGTGTGTGTGTGTGTGTGTGTGTGTGTGTGTGTGTGTGTGTGTGTGTGTGTGTGGGGGGGGGATCATTCGCTGGAGTAGTATATTTGTGTCAGATGTTTCTGCGAGCGGAGCAGATGGCTGATCTGACTCCCCATCCCCCTTACTTTGGCAGATTTTTCTATGTTTAAATATGTTGAAAATGCACCCCGAACCATGGAAAAACGTAGGGCGTCGACTTCCGCCTTAGAATAGCACGGCGGATCTATCCGCAAGAGTTTGTCGGACACAGCGAAAGTAGGGCGGAAATCGGCATCAACGGAGCTTGAAAAGGTGGGGCAGCAATTTCCGCCCTACCTGCAAAGTCGCCCACCGTACGGCGGATCCAGGGTCAGGGTGGGCAGGCTGGGGGGGAGGGGGAAGGGCGAGCGGCGCGGTGGCCGCAGCCATTCACCCGCCTGACCCGAGCCCCAGAAAAGCCAGGAAATTGGCATCAGCGGGGCTTGAAAAGTAAGGCGGAAATTCCAAGCCCTACTTACGAATTTCCCCAAAGTAAGGCGGATCCGGAGTCAGGGATGCTCAGGTCGGCCCCCGGACTCCTCGACCCCTTCCCCAGGGCCAGCCCTTCGCCCCGAGCCGCTTCTTGACGGCCCCAGAGGCCAGAGGCCAGCGCCTCCCAGAGGCCAACCAGGGCGACAGACCGGCCGCCTCGATTTCGTCCGCACGCCAGTAGTCAGGAGGAAGAAAAAAACACGCAGACACAATTAATCGTCGACTCCCAGAAAATATTGGAAAATATGCGAAGGAGGGGGAAGACAAAAACACAGAAAATATAGAAAAATATGGGGAATCTTTTTATTTGTGTGTATTTACTTGTGTGTCCCAGGGCCCCTTCAGGTAGGTCTGGAGTGCGCGCGGCCGCCAGGCATCATCCCCCCGGAGATCGACATGGACCTGTCGACGCCCTCGTTGCTGCTCGGGTGTGTTGTGCAGCCCCCGTCGACGAAGCTGGTAGAGGCCGGTCGTCGTTCGCCATCGCCGTCGTCATCGTCATCAACAGTGCAGCCCCGTCGTCGCCATCGCCGTTGTCATCGTCAGTGCGTCGCCAGCACCATCGCCATCGCCGTCGCCGTCGCCGTCGTCGTCCTCGTCGTCCTCGTCGTCGTCGCCGTGAGCAGCCCCCGCCGACGAAGCTGGTGGAGGCGAGTCGCCGCCACAGCGCCGCCACAGGCCGCGCGGGGCCCCCACGGCGGGGCCCTCGGAAGCCCTTCGGGGGCCCGCGGCGCACGTCGGGGGGGCCGTCGGAGGCCGCCGGAGGCCCTCGGGGGCCCTCGGGGGGCCCTCGGGGGCCCTCGGGGGCCCTCGGGGACTTTCGGAGGCCCTCGGAGGCCTTCGGAGGGCCTCCTCTCTCGGGCCTTCGGTGGCGCTCGGAGGCCCTTCGGGGGCCCTTGGGTGCCCTCGGAGGCCCTCGGGGGCCCTCGGGGGCCCTCGGGGGCGCTCGGAGGCCCTCAAGAGAGCGCTCGGAAGCGCTCTGAGGCCCCTGCCTTGTCCGCCGTACTTTGGCTGATTTTCCGATTCACGGACGGGAGCTAGATCGCGTGTCGCTGCGCCGATTCTGGCCCACCATGCTGCGGTACGGCACGCTATCCACTTCCCAGGCCCAAAGCGTCAACGCCGCGAGCCTTTCCCGGCTTTCCGCCCCTCGGAGCGGAGCGACACGCTAGGCGATTGCATAGGATGGGGATGATGATGATGATGATGATGATGATGATGATGATGATGAGGAGGAGGAGGAGGAGGAGGAGGAGGAGGGTGATGGTGATGGTGATGGTGATGTTGATGCTGATGGTGATGGTGATGGTGATGATGATTAGGAGGATAATGATACTGATGATGATGACGATGACGATGACGATGATGACGATGATGTTGATGATGATCATGGTGATGATGATGATGATGATGCTGATGATGCTGATGCTGCTGCTGATGATGATGATAATGTTAATGCTGATGCTGGTGATGCTGATGCTGTTGCTGTTGCTGCTGCTGATGGTGATGCTGATGATGCTGCTGTTGTTGGTGGCAATGATGATGCTTATGCTGCTGATGATGATGGTGGTGATGATGATAGTGACGACGACGATGATGATGATGAAGAATATGAAGATCATGGTGATGATGATGATGATGATGATGATGATGTTGACGATTCTGCTGACGATGATGGTAATGCTGATGCTGACGATGATGACGATGATCATGGTGATGATGCTGATTGTATTGATAATGATGACGATTACGATGACGATGACAATGCTGATGAAAATGACGATTATGATGCTGGTGATGATGATTGTCATGATGATGACGATGCTGCTGATGATGATGGTGGTGGTGATGATGATGATGGCGAGCAAGAACAATAACAATAAGAAAGATAATACACATAGCATGATGATGATGATGATGATGATGATGATGATGATGATGATGATGATGATGATGATGATGATGATGATGATGGTGACGATGTGGAGGAGGAGGAGGAGGAGGAGGAGGAGGAGGAGGAGGCCGAGAGGACGGAGGCGGAGGAGGAGGAGGACCAGTGTAAACCCAAGAGTCATCAACGATGATGGAATTAACCCTCCCTCCGAGCTTCCTCTTCATAGGCCCCTGCAACGGTTCATTTCCGTTGAGGTAACTGCCTCGTTGGAAGACAACCGCTTGAAGATCCTGAAGCATGCCAAAACATGGTTCTCGGGATTTCAACGCGACGTACCAGTCTGACTGCTGCGTCTAGACGATCCGGAACCGCACCAGAACGCCATTTTTGGGATTTCAACATTGCGAACCAACATAACTGTTGCACCCGCGAAATCCTGAATCCTTCCAAAACGCAATTCCTGGCACGCTGATCATGGGAATCCGTGAAATTCTTGCACATGTTGAGACCGAATGTGCGCGGCGCCAAGGCGAGAGCCACATTTTGAAAACCACCCGAGCTCAATCCGTGAAGTTCTTGCAAATGTTGAAAACGAATGCGCGCGGCGCTGAGGCGAGAGCCGCATTTTGAAAACCACCCGCCCTCAATCCGTGAAGCTCTTGGAATTGTTGAAAACGAATGTGCGCGGCGCCAAGGCGAGAGCCACATTTTGAAAACGACACGCCCTCAATCCGTGAAGCTCTTGCAAATGTTGAAAATGAATGCGCGCGGCGCAAAGGCGAGAGCCACATTTTGAAAACCACCCGCCCTCAATCCGTGAAGCTCTGGCAAATTTTGAACACGAATGCGCGCGGTGCTGAGGCGAGAGCCACATGTTGAAAACGACCCGCCCTCAATCCGTGAAGCTCGTGTAAATTTCGAATACGAATGCGCGCGGCGCCAAGGCGAGAGCCACATTTTGAAAACGACCCGCCCTCAATCCGTGAAGCTCTCGCACATGTTGAGAACGAATGTGCGCGGCGCTAAGACGAGAGCCACATTTTGAAAACCACCCGCCCTCAATCCGTGAAGCTCCTTGCAAAGTATGAAAACGATTGTGCGCGGCGTTGAGGCGAGAGCCGCATTTGAAAAACCACACGCCCTCAATCCGTGAAACTCTTGCAACTGTTGAAAACGAATGTGCGCGGCGCCAAAGCGAGAGCCACATTTTGAAAACGACCCGCCCTCAATCTGTGAAGCTCTTGCGAATGTTGAAAACGAATGTGCACGGCGCCAAGGCGAGAGCCACATGTTGAAAACGACCCGCCCTCAATCCGTGAAGCTCTTGCAAAGTATGAAAACGAATGCGTGCGGCGCTGAAACGAGAGCCACATTTTGAAAACCACCCGCCCTCAATCCGTGAAGCTCGTGCACAGTTTGAAAACCGTTGTGCGCGGCGCTAAGGCGAGAGCCACATGTTGAAAACCACCCGCCCTCCATTTGTGAAAGTGCTGTCACTTCTTAAGCTTCAGAGTCATAAGTGATGAGGAAGTCTCAAGCGAAACGCCCGGCCCGCCCTAAAAAATTTGCCTCGGGGTTTGACAGGGAGAAATTATCCATCAAGAGTAGGAATGGAGGAGGAGGAGGAGGAGGAGGAGGAGGAGGAGGAGGAGGAGGAGGAGGAGGAGGAGGACGTGGTGGTGGAGGAGGAGGAGGACGTAGAGGATGGGGAGGAGGAGGAGGAGAGGAGGAGGAGGAGGATCGGGATCGGGAGGAGGATGAAGAAGAGGAGCAGGAGGAGGAGGAGGAGGAGGAGGAGGAGGAGGGGGTTTTATTCTTATGACTATTATCATTATTATTTTCGCGGGTGATGGTCGTTTGCCGCCTCGGCTGCGGGGAGTGCGCCTGGCTTTTGCCCCCTCATGCTGCTGAATCTTCCGCTGCTGCTCCTTCTCTTCGATGGGGGGCCTTGAATGCTTGACGACTTTTGTCCAATCGACTCGCCAGGATACAGCCAGGCAGATCGAGGCAGCTCTGCGTAGTTCGATGTCAGGCGATATTGGTCGAGGCAAACCCAGAGATACTCAGACAAATCTGGAGGAGTTGTGGGGAAGATCCAGCGCGAGTCGAGGAACCGCAAACGACTGTGAGCCTTCAACAAGGGGGGGGGATTCAGGAGGCTCCAGAGGCCTACGGCTCAAGGGGGATTCCAGGCGCGCGGGGCTTCTGGAGGTTTTGTTGGGTTCTGTGGGGTCGTTCTCCTCGGCTGGCGGGTCGGAATTTTCGGACGCCTGTGCCGATGGCGCAGCCCATGCCAAGAGAGAGGGGGCAGTGCGAAGTGCACGGGGCGATAAGGTGTCGCTGATGGCATCGATGACACGACGTTGGGGTGTCCTTCTCCTCCTCCTCCTCCTCCTCCTCCTCCTCCTCCTCCTCCTCCGCCTCCTCCTCCTCCTCCTCCTCTGCCCCTAAGGTGCACGCGTCACCCCTCGGATGCGCGCAGGCCACGCGTTCGCAGCAAGCACTGCCGCCGCCGCCTCTGCAGCAACCGCCGCCTCTGCTGCAACCGCTGGCCACGGCCGCCACCTCGCTGCCGCTGCCCGCACGAGCACCAACGCCGCTGCCATCGCCCTCTTCTGCCGCCGGCGCCATCGCTGGCACCGCCTGCACTCGGTCGAGGGTCCACAGGGGGGGGGCTACCCTGCCGAGCGGGCGCGCCCTCGGGCCCCCCCTCGCGGCGGCGCATGTCAGAGGCAAAGTACAAGCTTGCGGGCACCGCTTCCGATTCGGATGGCGAGGCGGATGACGTCATGGATAAACACCACTGTACCGATGTGCCCTGCTGCTGCGTGTTCATCGCTGCGATCGTCGGCACCATTGTGATGTGCTCGACTGCTGCCCAGCAGGGCGGGGTCGGGAGACTCTATGCTGGCATACAGGCGGATGGCCTCATCTGCGGCGTAGACCAGCAAGTGCAGAAGCAGCCATACCTTGCCTGGTGTTATGGGCCAGGACCTGCTGGAGGCAAGCCTACCACGTCTAGTTTCACCATTGCTACCTCTAAGTGCGTCACGAAGTGCCCCTCCAGCGCCAGTGGCGTGGGTCCGATCGAGTGTCCCGAAGGGAGCTACTCGTCCGTGAATTCGCGGCCTTTCCTGGGTCGCTACTGTCTCCCAGAAATCGCATTCAAGAACGGTCTTCAGGACATCGCGGACACTGAGCTCGGCAGCTCGGCGCAGCAGTGGACCCTCATCGTGTCATCGATCGGCACATCTTGGCAACTACTGGTCTTCGTCTTTTTCTTGGCGTTCGTGATGGGCTTTTTATACCTTGGCTTCCTGCGTTGCTGCGCCGAGGGCATGATATGGAGCTGCATCTTCCTCTCATTCCTCGGCTTCGGGGGCACGGGCATTTATCTTTGGGTGAACGCCAGCAGCATCGCCAGCAAGCTTCCAGCCGACATGGAGATCAGCGAAGGGGTCATCGGGGAAGAGGAAAACATCGCGCGGGGCACAGCCATGGTGTGCCTGGTCGTGGCTGCCGGCGTGGTGTGCCTCGCCTGCTGCCTGGGCAGCAGCATCAAGAGGGCCGTTTCGTGCGTGGAGGCTGCGTGCGAGGCCATCTACGAAATGCCCTCGCTCTTGATGGGTCCAGCCGTTAAGGCCATGGTGCAGGGGGTCCTTGCCATAGTCCTCCTGTACGGCTATCTGACCGTCTACAGCGCCGGGAATGTTTCGGCCGGAAGCAAAGGAGGCGTAGGTAGGCATGTCGAGCACACCTGGAACGAGTGGTGGCAGATCATAGGTTTTATCGTCATGGCCTTCTGGATCGTCACCTTCGTCGACGCGCTGTTCCAGTTCACGATGGCGTTCGCATTCGCAACGTACTACTACAAGCCCTACGGAGTCAACCGCCAGAAGGACGTCAACGGCTTCTGCGCCGGCGTCCGGGGGCTCTACATCTGGTGGGCCAATTTGCCATCGCAACTATCATAGGTAGGAGGAGGAGGAGGAAGAGGAGGAGGAGGGGGAGGGGGAGGGGGAGGAGCAAGACCTCCCCATTCTCCCTTCTCCCCCGTCCTATCTATGGTAGTGGCGGTGGAAAATTGGCCCATCAACATTGGCGTCATGTACCACGCGGGCTCTCTGGCCTTCGGATCCCTGCTGGTGGCCGTGCTGCACGCCCTTCAGAAGCTCATGGAGTACGCGCGCGTCAAGAACCAGGAGACCGTGGACAGCGCGCTGGTCAAGTGCGTCCTCTGCTGCGTCGAGTGCCTCGTCGGCTGCTGCGCCGAGGCCGTGGAGGTTGTGAACAAGAACGCGTACATCGACATGGCCGTGAGCTCCAACGGGTTCTGCGTCTCCGCGAGGGAGGCCATGGACATCATAGTTCACAATGCGGAGGCCATGTCTATACTGAACGGGGCCACGTATGTATTCACGGTATTTGGAGCGCTCTTCATCATCAACGACGCCTGCGGCGCATTCGCCAGCCGCTCCTTGGAAGCTGCACCCACAAGTGGGGCGCGCCAATACAGTACTCTGGCGTGGCATGATGGTGGCGCCGCATGGTTGTCGCTGTCAAAATCCTGAGGCAACCTGGGGCTGCCAAGGGCATGAGATCACATGAGATCACCACCCCCGCTTGGCTTCTCCTGGCGCTGCGCGCCCTCTAACAGGTAGCAGCAGAGAGACAGGACCAGAAGCCCGTAGTGGAAATGAAGACCGTAGACAGGGTATGGGGAACCAGAGACAGGACGAGATAGAGACAGCGAGAGAGAGAGAGAGAGAGAAGGAGAGAGAGAGAGAGAGAGAGAGGGAGAGCGCGAGAGAATGGGAGCGGCCCGGTCAAGACAGCAGTCCAGCAGTGACCTTCGCAACCCCGTGACCCCGGAGGGGGCCGGCGGACCTCGGTCTGTGGCCTGATGGTCTTCGTCGCCGGCGAGAGCGGGCCGTTCGCGGACGACGAGGACCGGGTGGCCGAGCCAGTGGCTGTGGTTATCGTGGGGATGCTCATGCCGGGTGCTGGCGGCGGCGGCCCTGGCCCGCGGTGAGACCCCCCGGCTCTCCCGGAGGCCCAGGCGGCCTCGGGAAGCCCCCCTCACCAGGCCCGGAGGCCCAGGGGCCCCCCCGGGTGGCGACGAGCTGGGGGCAACCTTGGGCCAGGGTCACCTCTGGCAGCCTCCGATCGTCGCCTTCTCCGTGTCCCTCTCGTTCATGAACGTGTTCGACATGGCCAGCGATACCCTGCTGTACTGCTACGCGAAGGACAAGCAGAACGACAACGGCGCCAACACTGCACCGGCCTCGTTCGCGAAGCTGGCGACGAGCACCGAGCACAGCGGCAGCCACTGAGGACTACCACCCCAGCTCTCCAGCGACGAGGGCGAGGCACGCCTGCTTTTCCCCTCTCGGGCCCGAAGCTCGACTCCTCTCCAGAGGCGCTCGACGGCGGCCCTCCTCCCTCCTCCCTCCTCCCCCGCCTTCTCCCCGCGCCGGCGGGGCCGGGGATGCTCTGAGCCATTGGCACAGATCGGCCGTCGCCGTCGTCGTCGCCGTTGTTTTTGTCGCGTTGGCCGAGGGGGGCCAATGGAACGCCCTTCCCGCGGGGCCTTCGCGACGCTGTATTCAGAGCCAATTGGGGGCCGTCAGCCCAGACCTCCGATGCCGTGATTGTGTCAGCGCGTGGGCCCCCGGAGGTCTCGACCCCTTGCCCGGGCACCGGCCTCTCGTCTCGACCCCTGTCCTCCGTCGTCCTCCTCCTCCTCCTCCTCCTCCTCCTCCTCCTCTTCCTCCTCCTCTTCCTCCTCTTCCTCCCAGGAGCCGAAAGGCGGCTCCCGCACGCCCGAAGTTGCGACGGGCGGGGCCCCAGGCGTGCGAGCAGACAGGCAGTGCGACCGGGCCCCTGGCGAGTTCGGGCCTGCGCGGGCCCGACCTCGCGACCTCGGAGCCATCGAGGCCCTGTCCGCGGGACCGGCCCTCGATGGGGGACCGGCGGCGGAATTTGTGCCGCGGGCGTGGTCGAGGGCTCCAGGCGTCCCCGAGTGCTCCAAGAGGTGGAAGGACGATTAGGAGGTGGAAGGGTGATGAGGAGGACCAGGAGGAACAGGAGAGGAATCGGTGGAGAGGGGGGCGAATGGTGCTGCTAATGATGATGCTGCTGATGATGATGATGATGACGATGATGATGATGATGATGCTGATGCTGATGCTGATGCTGATGCTGCTGCTGCTAATGATGATGATGATGATAGAATCATGATGGTGAGGCGGAGGAGGAGCAGGAGGAGGATTATGATGATGATGCTGGTGATGACGATGATGATGCTGATGATGATGATGATGATGATGATGGTGGTGATGACGACGATGATGATGACGAGTATGATGATTATTAGTATGATGGTGGTGATGGTGATTGTGATGGTGATGGTGATGGTTTTGATGAAGATGAGGAGGTGGATGAGGATCAGGATCAGGATGAGGATGCTGCTGATGATGATGATGATGATGATGATGATGATGATGATGATGATGATGATGATGATGATGATGATGATGATGATGATGATGATGATGATGATGATGATGATGATGATGATGATAAGAAGGAGCGCGTTCTGTGGTCGCTTGGAGGGGGGGGGGGTTGGAACGGGACCCCCACCCCCTACATGGAGGGGGGGGGATTCGAACCCCCCCCCCTCCCGTGACGGAGGGGGGGGGGGTGTTCAAACCCCCCCACCCACCCCCTTTCCCCCCCCCTGCTTCCCCTCTCCTCGGGCCGACGCTTGAGTCGGCGGCGGCTGGCGACGGCGGCGGGGACGACGATTTCCATTTCTGGGCCGACGCCTGCGGCGGCGGGCGGCGGTGGCGGGGAGCGTCGACGAGGACGACGGTGGTGGTGGTGGTGGTGGGTTGTGGTGGTGGTGCTGGTAGCGGTGGTGGTGGTTGTGGTGGTGGTGGTGTGGTGGTTTGTTGTGGTGGTGGTGGTGGTTGTGGCGGTGGGTGGTATTGGTGGTGGTGGTTTGGTGGTGGTGTGGTGGTGGTTTGTGGTGGTGGTGGTGGTGGTGGGTTGTGGTGGTATTGGTGGTGGTTTGGTGGTGGTGTGGTAGTTTGTGGTGGTGGTGGTGGGTTGTGGTTGTGGCGGTGGTTTGTGGAGGTGGTGCTGGTGGTGGTGGTGGTGGCGGTAGTGGTGGTGGTGTGGTGGCTTGTGGTGGTGATGGTGGGTTGTGCTGCTGGTAGTGGTGGTGGTTGTGGCGGTGGTGGTGGCGGTGTGGTAGATTGTGCTGGTGGTGGTAGTGGTGGTGGGTTTTTGTTGTGGTGGTGGTGATGGTGAGTTGTGGTGGTGGTGGTTGGTGGTTGTGTGGTGGTGGTGGTTTGTGGTGTTGGTGGTGGTGGTGGGTTGTGGTGGTGGCGGTGGTTTGTGCACGTTTGTTTTGGTGGTGGTGGTAATGGTGGAGGTGGTGGTGGTGGTGTGGTGGTTTGTGGTGGTGGCGGTGGGTTGTGCTGCTGGTAGTGGTTGTGGCGGTGGTAGTGGTGGTGTGGTAGATTGTGGTGGTGGTGGTAGTGGTGGTGGGGTGGTGGTTTGTGGTGGTGGTGGTGGTGGTGATGGTGAGTTGTGGTGGTGGTTGTGGTGGTGGTGGTGGCTGTGGTAGTGGTGGTGGTTGTGTGGTGGTGGTGGTTGTGTGGTGGGTTGAGGCGGTGGTGGTGGTGGTAGTGGTGGTGGTGGTGGTGGTAGTGGTGGTAATCGTCGCGCGTCCCCGCCGTCGCCGGCGCCAGCGCCGGCGCTGCTGGCCGCGCCAGCGCCGGCGCCAGCGCGGGGGGGGGGGTTGGAACCCCCCCCCCCTCCAGGTGCCAGGGGGGGGGGTTTGAACCCCCCCCCCTTGAGCTGCATCGTCGCTGCGTCCCCGCCGTGGGCGCTGCTGGCGGCCGCCAGCGCCGGCGCCGGCGCCGAGGGGGGGGGGGGTTGAACACCCCTCCCCCCCCTGGAGGGAGGGGGGTTGGCAGGTAGGGGGGACCCCCCGGTTTTGATTGACGGCGCCGAGTGTTGGGGGGGGGGGCCCACCCCCCGGTTTGAAACGCGCCGCCGACTGTTCCCAAGGCAAGCGCCCGTGAAACGCGTTCTCTCGTTAAGAATCATAATGATAATGATGATGGTGGTGGTGGTGATGGTGATGATCTGTATAATGATGATGATGATGATAATGATGATGATGATGATGATGATGCTGATGATGATGAGGATGAGGATGAGGATGAGGATGAGGATGAGGATGAGGATGGTGGTGGTGATGTTGTGGATGATGATGGTGATGATGGTGATGGTGATGGCGATGGTGGTGGTAATGTTTACGATGCTGATGGTGATTGTGATGATGGTGGTGGTGGTGATGGTGATGATGGCGATGATGATTAGGACGAGGATGATACTGATGGTGATGGTGATGGTTTTGATAAAGATGAGGAGGTGGACGAGGATGAGGATGACGATGATGATTATGGTGGTGATGATTGTGGAGGTGGAAGGATGATGAGGAGGTGGAAGGATGATGATGATGAGGACCACTAGGGACAGGGCAGGAATCGGTGGAGAGGGGTGGCAAATGATGATGGTGACGATGATGATTATGATGATTGTGATAATGATGGTGGTGGTAGTGGTAGTGATGACGTTTATTGTGGTGGCTGGAATGGCGATGATTAAGATGGTGGTGATGGTGATGCTGAAGGTGATGATGATATGTTGATGCGGATGGTGATGATGACGATGATGGTGATGGTGGTGATGATGACGATTGTGGTGATGGTGATGGTGATGGTGATGGTCAGGATGAGGAGGTGGATGAGTATGAGGATGAAGATGAGGATGATAATGATGATGCTGATGATGATGGTGATGATGATGATGATGATGATGTTGGTGATGGTGGTGGTGATGGTGACTGTGATGGTGATGGTGATGGTGGAAGGGGTGATGATGATGGTGTTGATGAGGAGGAGGAGGAGGAGGAACAGGAGGAGGAGGAGGTTGACGACGAGATGGGAGGGATTATGATGGTTCTTTGTGTATGGAGGATGAGGAGGAGGAGGAGCAGGAGGAGGAGGAAGAGAGGAGGAAGAGAGAGACGAGGATGATGATGATGATGATGATGATGATGATGATGATGATGATGATGATGATGATGATGATGATGATGATGATGATGATGATGATGATGATGATGATGATGATGATGATGATGATGATCTGGGCTCATGGTGACGAGGAGGAGAAGGAGAAGGACGAGGAGGAGGAGGGAGCTAATGATGATTAAGAGGAAGACGATTATGCGGGTGGTGATGATGATGAATATGGCGATGTCGAAGGTCTGGGTCAAGCCGCGGTGGCCCTGGCCCCTTTTCATGGGGGGCGTGGGCCAGCAAGGCAGCTAATCAGAACCCTCCAGAAGCCTCCATCTTGTCCATCCTCCCCTTTGCCTTCCTCTTCCTCCTCCTCCTTCCGCCTTCCCCTCATTCTCCTCTTCCTCCGCGACCAAACGATCATCAGCCATTGATTGCTCCGTCGGAGATTTTTGTGTGTTTTTTTATTTAGCTTAGTTTCTCTCTTGCGTCTGCCCTTGCTCTTTCTCTTGCTTTTGCTCTTGCTCTCTCTATATATATACATTTATATATGTGTATATATATAAACGTCTACGTATGATTGCATCGCTCTCTGTATACATGTACATGTATGTGTGCATGCATGTATGTTTGTATGTATGTGTGTATGT